CTTATGTGTATAACGGCTTTTCAACAAGATGCTTATATTTACAAAATATACGTGTTATTTGTTGTTTTCATGATCACGTTTACAGCAGGAAGTATATATCTGTTTTTTTTTTWAAATTATATTTCTTATAATATTTAAACTGTAAAGATAAACAATAATTAACTACTAAGGTTGTCCGTGTTTATTAACATAAAATCAATTTTTCACGATTTTCTTTAAAACATATCCCGACGCAAATATTAAAAGTTAATATCCGACATTTCGGGTACATTATAATAAATAAACAAATATAATGTTAAAATTATTAATTGAATATATATTTTATCAAACGTGTAATTTATATATTATATATTGAACAATTTTAAACATAATATTCAAAAACTGTATGCAGTGACTAGTGAAAACAAGATTATTTTCGACCGTTGAATTAAAACAAATAACAAGAACGAAAATATATTTTGATGAAAATCTGCACTAAACCTAATACAGTAGTTAGGTTAATAATACAGCGCTTTTACACCTCTTAGCAGCATAACATTTAGGTGATTAGTGATTAATCGTTAATAGTTATACATATACAGTAATACTAATAGTAAAACTTAATATTTTGGCCTGGTAGAACTGTAGACTTTGACTAAGCCAAACTAAGCGGAAAAAAGGATTTGAAACATTTAAAAYATGGTATCAGAGATGAACATTAAAAATTCCTGTGACCGAGAAAGATCAAGAATGTATACTTGACATTGAAAAAACGGAAAATAATCTGGGAAACAATCAGAGAAAGGGAGGAATTAAATGGATGAATAACGACAATAATAAAAGCTGAAATAAGTGTATCAAGAACTCCTCTGAGTAGAGGTCCATTGAAGTCAATGAGTTGTAAAAAAAAAATATTTTGATACGACTTTTTTTCAATTATTTAAATATAAATATTTGAAACTAGACTGTTAGGTAAATTTAAAAGAAACATGATACGTTTAAAAAAACATTTTTCTTAAAAATAATGATTTAATAGATATTTAATATGAACAGCAAAAATCAATACCTACAGTATAGGTAAGTCTTAWTATACCATTATGATATACTATAGCTATAGAATGTCTCTCGCGACCGCTCTTCCCCCTGATGGCCTGATCTGTCTGTGTAGTATTTAATTTATATATCACATTTATTTTGACAATAACGTTAAATTCAGTAAGTGCGATTACCCGTATATCCGGTAGTATTTAWTACCCGTATATCATAATGGTTATATATATATTACAAACTTGTTGTGTCTGTATCGTGTGTGTTTGCAGCGTGTGAAATAACAGGTGGTAACGTCGATGTACTGAAGATATTATGGATATAACTGTTTACGAAACAATCATATTATTATGTTTGCAAGACATTGTACACATTATACTCGGATTCTAGGAAAAAATGCCCCAAACAACATTCACCGGTAAAAAAGCCCCGTACCAACTAAATACATTATTCTATTKTATTATGATTGACATATTAAATATAATCATAATATAATCATTACATTCATCTATGTAACAACACTTCTTTGACATATCCATAACTACCCATAAATATTAATATTTTATTATAAAAGAATAGATTAATAACTGTATATACTTTTATAGTTTTATGACTTTTATGTCATAATGATATATAATAAGCTAATAAATTATACACCTAACATTAATCAACTAATGTTAAACTTAAAACATTAATGTTAAAAATTGTTTTACATTTATTATTAAATAATTATATTATATTATTATGCATCGAATGTATTTGTRTATTACCTACACTAAGTAATATAATAATTTTTTTTTAAGATAACTATATAAAAAAAATACATCTACCTAGTAGGTATAATATGACATTAAACAACAATTAATTTGCCAAAAAAAGTGTTACATGATTAATAATTATATTGAAATTTAAGTATGTATGTTGTTTAAAAATTAAAAATTATAAAATTTACATTAAAGCAACAAAGTTTTATGTATTTATAGTTGGTACGGGGCTTGTTTTCCCTATAGGTTGGGCTTATTTTACCGTATTTTAATATCACCGTTTTTTTTTTTCTGAATACCATATGTTTGTGGGTATATTATGTGTGTCTTTGCGAGTGAGTAGATGTACTTTGTGAGCCTACCTCAGTGCACGCTGTGGAAAGTGGACTTCGATCTTATAAGTTATAAGAACTTACTTAAAAGTTGTTTATTATATAATTTGATTATTGTTATTATTATTATTATTTTTTGTTGTTGATAAACAATGGCATATGATGAAAAAGTTCGGCTTCCGTGTAGGGATGCCACATAGAAAAAAGGCGTACTTAGTGAGTAGGTACACCTAACTATACGTAGGTATTCCGAAAGCAYTGGAGCAGCTGYTGCAGACCGACGTAAAGACACTTTGCAAAGCGTTCCGTTTTTCTCATCGTTTTGATTTCGGGTGTTAACCGGGTATGCCGCGTCTTTGCTGTTAAGTACATATAATAAAAATAATATTATTATGGTTAAGTTGTTATCGTAATAATTATTATTTTACGTTGCGGTCTCACGATGACCTTTGCGTTCGTGTCCGGTATATCGATTTCCGCGCAACTGGTAACACTGCGCTTTGCTGTCCTAGTGACGTCACGTCCTGTACGCGCTACCGCGGTTTCGGTGAGTCGGTAACGAGTGTCGCGGGGTGGCGGTGTGCGTGCGTGAGTGCGCGCGCACCTAACCCCGCGGGACAGGGATGACGGAAAGCGGACACGGGGTTTTCCGCCCACGACGGACCCCGCTTTTCCACTTATTGTTCATTCAAAAACCTACCACCGCTGGTTTGGCTTTGGCGCGTATTGTGTCTCAGTCTCGCGTACAGTGCACACTCACGTCACCTCACATCGTCCTCGTCGTCCTCGTCGCTGGTGTTACCAGAAAACGGAAATCATCGCAAACCGCGTAAGTATAATAATACTAATAATGYAAACATCATGTCAGAATTATTAGTGCATAATATTTTGGTTTATCATCACTTTTTTTATGGGTCAATTAGTCTTATTGGATAGAATAATATATTAATTGGTGTATATTATTATTGTTATTAATATACTATGGTAGTCTTGAACCGAAATTTTCTCCTCACCGGAAAAAAAAA